CTCAAATCGTTTTAAATAAGCTGAGTCTTCACTTCAATTACGACGATACGTTATAAGAGGACTTCTGTTAATTCTGGAAAACAATGAATTTGTAAATTACGATTGAGTCATAACATAAATAATGATACCTCTCAAATATTAAGTGTTTAATCTATGATGATACCTTTTTTAAGTAGCTATTCGTTTTGCATCGTGTTGAGCATATGGTCTTATTAGCCTGCTATAATTTACTTATACCTTAGGCCGTTCCTATTGTAGAGTCTACTTTTATCCAGCTGTCACGATATTTGACCTTGTGCATCTTCGTATTATTCAGTCAGATATGAGTCGACTATTATCAAAGCCGGCAATGTGACTTTTGGACAATTATTGGTAAATCAGAAAAGCGAATTATTGACTTTGTAATCCATTGGCAATCACAAAACTCTTCTGAACGACATCGTAGATAAATAACAGGTTAAGTATTAACCTTTATTTAATGCAAGTTTTGAACCGTATTCTTTGAAGGAGACGATTATATTCAAATCAATCTGTATTGACATATCAATAACATTTTTTTGTCCAAATACACAGATTGCCACCTTTGATAATAGACGACTCATATGTAAGATTTACAGAGAAAGTATAATTTAATAACGTTACAAAATTATGAATATGCTCACCACTCAAACGTGACGATTATCTGTTGAACTTTCTGTATTTGAAATGTTCAGAATCAATCTTGTTATCGATATTGAAAAGCTTTAAGAGTTATATGACCGTTACTGCGACGTAGTAGTAGTTACTACTACTGTAGTAGCTGTAGTAGATACAGCTATACAAAGATCTTTTGTGAGCCAATGCCTTGTCAAAACATGACAAATAGTGCAGATAGGCGTACAAAAGACCAATATTATTATTGCTAAAACACCTTGACCTGTTAGGTGCCTGCTAGGTTGTATCTACAAAAGGCGAAATATAAGTCCAAAAGCGTATCTTCGGCACTGGAACTGAATCAAAATTATATGGAATATTATAAAGGAACTGTTCTCGATAATGGTACCTAGTGATGGTACAGAACGTTGAAGATATGACGATCGAAAGAATGTGGTCTTCCATGTTTCTTGCATTCAAACTAATTCATCCTTTTTTATGTTAAGGAATTTGTTTACGGCTACTCGCTGCTGGACGAGTGATTGGAATAAATGTCGGACTCCGACGAATCCAAAGAGATTACACCTTGAGATAGGCGCCCTAGGAGTCGTGAATCCCCAAGAAATTCTTCCTGCTCCCCCTAAGCTGATTCCACGGTACCACTAGAATGCGCGTCGCTACTCCTCCTTCTTCGGCACCCATCAAGATGGTCGGACGGTATCGACCCCTAGAGCAAAACTCTCATCTCTTCTCATCACCTGACCCACAAGACTGTCTCCGAACACCTCTACATCTGGTGTTCTATATTCCCTATGGCTAGGCTACGACTGCCCGCCCAGCGAGCCTTCTTCGCCGGAGATCACCTGACTCTAGATCGACTTCCCGCTCCCGTTTCTTAATTACCCAGAGGGCCATGACCAAGTCGCAGAGCGTCAACGTGGCCTCCCAGAAAGTCCGATCTTTGATTATGCGGACCATGACAGCCGACAAGGTGAGGCCCGCCCCATAGCCTTCTGCATCTACTACAAACTAAATATAATTGTCTTAAAACTAAAAATTGAAAATGACTCACCCTAAGCTACTTATCTTAATAAGTACCTTTTAGCTATTAGTAGCTTTCTGCTCATACGTATATAATTGAAAGAATGGAATATTATTTATAGCCGGCAGATGGACATCGTCCTACTGAATGCGATGGAGTTGCGGATTTCCGAGCAAAATTCTCCGGTAGCATACGAAAGGTAACTGATCTTTTCGGGGAGCTGATCGACTTCCCGGAGTATTTCAGAGTGTTATGGTGGTGTAGAATATATCTCCCAACGTTTGTCTTCTTGGCGGCAGAAACAAACAGGATAGTGATACCTACCAGTGCTTGTTCACACAATAAAATCACTTGAAACTAGTCAGTCAATTTAAGATAGGTTTAGCAATAGAAGAAAGTCCTTTTATTTTCCATAAAAAGCCAATTAATAAGTAAGTGTACTTTTATTTGGCTTATTAATATTTAGTTTATTTTAAAACGTTCTTTAAACTATTGGGCTTAAGCAATAAAATTATTAGATTGTCATCGGTCATTGATACTTGTACAAATTCTCAAGTTAATCGGACGTTTTGAAGTTACTGCAGATTAAATACCCTCAGGTAGATGAATAGATACATAACAAAACGATAAAAGCATGCTATGAAAATAAAACTCGAACATTGCTTTTAAAAATTCAATTCAAATTCATAACCAAATCTGGATCGTCACGTACTTCGAACTTTATTTCGGAACACCGTCGTAGGCGGTAAACATTTATATGCCTACTAAACTAAAACGCCCACGTGACAACCGAATTTATCAAAATACATCTTGGGACAAAGCTTCAAACAATTACCGACTGCAAAAACTAAACGCACAGATAACGAAACAACATAAGAACCAAAAAGCTGCTTTTATGCAATGCATGCTCACACGAACTGGTGCCTCATTCGATGGTATACTGGAACGCATAAATATCACAACATTAATGAAGCACAACACAGTGCAAAAAAAGAAATAACACCTTCTCTCAAATGCTAACTTCGGTAAAAGTTTAAACTATCTATAAATCACAAATCAATCATTGCAACGTTAGCTATTTTATGCTACTTTAAAACCCGATTGAACAATCTCAATAGATAACACTCGAAACTGGATTACAAAGTGCTTAGTCATAATTTAGGACAACATATTCGAGCGCATTCCATTACGCTAACCCGACCTTACGAATTCAGCGCATGAACGCCATTACTTCGGTTAAGGACNGTGCAAAAAAAGAAATAACACCTTCTCTCAAATGCTAACTTCGGTAAAAGTTTAAACTATCTATAAATCACAAATCAATCATTGCAACGTTAGCTATTTTATGCTACTTTAAAACCCGATTGAACAATCTCAATAGATAACACTCGAAACTGGATTACAAAGTGCTTAGTCATAATTTAGGACAACATATTCGAGCGCATTCCATTACGCTAACCCGACCTTACGAATTCAGCGCATGAACGCCATTACTTCGGTTAAGGACGAGTCACGCTTTCTTTGTTACCACACTGGCCACTGCATTAGGGACCAGTTACATAATAGTTTACCAGCGTAATAAATAATAATAATAATATTATAGCATCCGTTATGGATTTGGTTCGGATAGCATTTGCTGATTTCCGAACTTGGAATGATATTAATGATACAATAGACTTAACTTTGTATACCTAAGTGGCCGACATTCTAAATCCGTAAAATACGGATGACGGATACGGAACTATCCGTTACTTTAACAATTCCTGAAATTTGATCAGCATCGATGGAAGGTGTAATTAACTACACGACTCATTATGGAACAAAGCAGTCATAATATGTTATATTTTAATTTTTTTGCTTCTTTTATTTAGAATTTAGGTTTAGTTTGGTAGATTTAGGTTGTAAAAAATTTATTGGGGCCTTCGTTCTCATTTTTGAAGATTGTCATCATGTAATCGTATTCACGTTCCGTTTTCTATTGCATCTGGTTTCTAGTTACCACGAAATGGAGAACACACAACTCAGGCGAGCAGACAGACGCTCTTCGAAACGTCATGGCACTCGAACAAAGCGCCTAATAAAAAGTTTTACATTGCCGGTGTACTATATTGCTATTAATTAAATTCGGGCACTTTAAGTATCTATAATAATCTATATCATAGTTACTGTTATGAGTTAAAAAGTTATACAAACTGTAGGAATATACGACAAAGGGAAGATCTTCCACCGAGCGGGTGACAATGCTCGGTAGACCGACGGTCCGAATGTTGTTGTTCGGAACTTGTATATATGCGCTTTATCTTGAAAATGTCGTAAGCGAGATTCAGGCATCTGTCAATTATCTTGCGTTGTATGATGGCTACCCGCCACAAAACTAATAAGTCTGTCTTTAATTTTTAATTAAGAAACTGAGACTGCCCAGCAATCTAGGCAATAAAAAAATATTATACACAATAATAACACGTAAGAAATTTAGAACCTTTTTACCTACGATATCAGATCAGGAATATGGAAATTCGCAGGAAAACCGTAATAACTGACATAGCCGAAGGAATTGTGAGATTGAAGTGGGCAGAGCATTGCTCGTAGAGCAGATGGCCACTATGGCTGAAACGCTTTCGAGTGGCGACTGTGTAAAGACGTAGCTTGGGTGGAGCTACCACAAGGCAGACCAGCTACCTGTTAAATATAGCGGAAATCTGCCGAATGCAGACAGCATAGGACCGGTCGTTGTGTCGAGGCTTTGGGGGAGGCCTTTGTTCAACAGTGGACATCTGTGGATATTGTAGTTTATTTAACTTTCTATACATAGCCTGGTTTTACTACTCATTCAGTTTCGGATAGGTAGCTTACTCATTATTGAATTTTTACCAGGCGTATGTCTTCAAATCCAATTTCGTCTTATTGCAGCCATTTAATTAATTTCTAAATTACTTCATTTTCATTCATAAAATAATTTTCATTACACTTTTTTAACAACTTACAGAGATTCGACATATACTAAAGTAGGGACCCGCCCTTGCTTCGGAAACTGTAATTGATTATTGATTTCTCCACTATTTAATGGATGTTATTATACATATAAACCTTCCTCTTCAATCACTCTATCTATTAAAAAAACCGCATCAAAATCCGTTGCGTAGTTTTAAAGATTTAAGTATACATAGGGATATAGGGACGGAGAAAGCGACTTTGTTTTATACTATGTAGTGATGAGGTTTACTCGCAGATGCTAAATTCCCGTTGCCTAGACAAAAAACGAAACGAAAAAAAACTAAAATGTCAGATTGTCCTACTTGCCAGTTGTCAAATTTTGTAAAAATAATGCTTCATGCTTGTTTTCTCCACACAAAACTAAGTTTTTAGTTAATTTCCAATTATAAAATACATTAATTGAAGGTACAGAAGCTCATGGACAGTTCAATATTTAAATAGGTATATTTAAATCAAACATAACAAAGCCGCTTGGTGGCCATTCTGTTATATTACGGCAAAGGTACATAAAATATTTTTTTTTTGTAAATTTAAAACCATACGTAAAAATCTAAAAAATATAACTTGAAAGGTATGAAAACTTACGTACTTGAAAGACAAAAAAAATAAAAAAGTCACTATTCATTAAAATTTCTTATAAATATCATTTTGATTTGGTTTTTTCAGAAACATTAAACATTATCAGTGATGTCGATGCCACACAGCAGTTCGAGTACCAGTTCAGGCACGAAACGTAAAGAAATATACAAGTAAGTAACGTTACAACACAATATGAACTATAAATAACAGATTGGAAATAATTGACAGTATAAAATACAGAGTTGACCCAATTTTGAGATTGCTAATTATAATTAGGTATAGCGTGTTATTTATTTCTGTACCCATTCCTATGTTTCGAAACATTTGTAATACAATCAAGCAGGCATAGTGGGACTTACTAATTTAATGCTTTAGACGTTTTGAATTATACCGATAATCCTTTCACAATTCCCGAAAAGAACTAAAGTGATGTTAACAAATTGCAAAAAAAGCCTTATCTTGATAATTACGTACGAAATTTGATTTGTTCATACAGTTAGGTTAAATTCTCATAAACGAAGTTGTGATAAAAAAAAACACTATAAGCTAGACAGCTGCATTTCTATGTCACACATCTTTTACAGATACCAAGCGCCATGGCCATTATACTCAATGAATTGGTCTGTCAGACCTGACAAGAGATTCAGGTTAGCCCTGGGCAGTTTTGTTGAGGAATACAACAACAAAGTAAGCTTTTACATAGCAGCTATTATATAAATTTAGTAATTTACAAAACATACCAACAGGAATAAATAAATACAGTATATAGGCCCAGATAATGAATCATCCAAAGTTAATGCAATTTAGGGATGTCCATTTGCCAAAAATTTCCCATTCATTGTGTTATAAACGATAGACGTATGTGCCTTATAATCCATAAATGCAAAATATTACCAAAGAAAATACACAATAAATCACATATTTTTGTTGTTTTTCATTTTTCAGTAGTTGACAGAATTGGTAGGAGCACTTATTTTGTGGAGGCTGTTCTTACAGACCAAGTAGACAAATATAGCAAGAAAAATAAATTTTCCAAGTAATTATTGGTGCATAATATTACTTACTTAATTCCACCATTAAATTTGTAAAAACTTAACTACATACTACTAATGAGTTAATTGTTTAGCATATACAACCATATAGTATGTAAACCAGGTGTTTCCAAAATATATAACCCACTTAGACACACAATAACTTGACCGTAAAGATTTTAAATCGGTGAGTATGTTGTATGAATAGGAAAAAGAACTAGGGATAGGATTTTTTTAATAATTTTAGGTATGGGGTTTTAAGGTATCAGTTCATTTTAAAAAGGGGTCTGCCAAAAATTGTTGTATATCACCTGATATAAATGAATTTATTAGTTTTCACTACATTGAATTTTTTAGTGAAAACTTATAAATTAATGGTTTCATTTAACACACACTGTATTGTAGCATTCCTTGTGCATGACATAAACTTAATAAAACTTAAATCCTAGGTACAAATAATTTCCCTTGATGAAGACACAAGTGAGTTCACTGCAAAAAGTACCTTTGATCACCCATACCCAACCACCAAGATCATGTGGATACCTGATAGCAAGGGGGTGTATCCAGACTTGTTGGCAACTAGCGGTAAGAATTCAGTAACAGTTTTACTAGCTATATTATTATGTATTGTTTGCACTCCCTACCATTAAATTAGTTGCAGTAGTATTGTCTTCTCTTATTAAGTCCATTTTTTTATATTTTGAGTATGTGTAAAGAATTTGGACCTGTATTAATTTAAACCGTCAGCTCAAAAGTGGCCTAAGATTACTATATTTAATATGGAGATAATGAGGTTTGAATTTACTTTTACACTGCTACATAGGCAAAAACATATACTCCCAAAGATAATGCTTACAATATCATCTCTCTCTAGAGAAACAGTATTCATGATATTCTTTGAGCTCCATAAACCACTGAATTGTACTTAGCTGAGCCTGTCTATCTTCTTTGTCGACGTATCACTCTTGTCAGAGCGGTTGTGGTCATTATTTAGCATCATTGCTGAGGGCAGGTGTTATGCGCCTCACAAGCAATCGCCACTCCTCCCGGTTTGTGGTGAGCCTGGTACACTCATGCAAACAATAATAATCAATCTACATAAATAAAAATAAGTGATACCCTATGAGTACAATATGAATGATTGTGATGTTAATAGAGGCAACTTTCGTTGACATAAACAGTTTTGATAAATAATCAAATTCAAGTAAAACTATTCAATAAAATTTCACAATGGTGCCTTATGTTGCAGGTGATTATCTACGCATATGGCGTGCCGGAGAGCCGTACACATTATTCGAATGTGTCCTAAATAATAATAAGAATTCTGACTTCTGTGCTCCTCTTACATCCTTTGATTGGAACGAAGTGGATCCTAACCTCATTGGCACCAGTAGTATTGACACGACCTGCACCATCTGGGGCTTGGAGACTGGACAGGTCTTGGGCAGGGTCAATGAAGTGTCTGGGCACGTGAAGACTCAGTTGATCGCTCATGATAAGGTTTGTGATTTTTATTTAATAGAAGATCTTGTTAATTCATTTGTGTCCAAAATTTATGTTAATGATTATCTGAAGATTATTGGTGTCTTCAAAAAATTATCGTTCTGCGAATCTAGTATAACCCCTCGAGGTTACAAGAATATGTTGAAAAAAAAAATGTTTCAAATCAATGTATTCAAATATGTTTAAATCACTTATTACAATTTTGACATGATACATATTTATCAAACTAAAGAATTTCAGGATTGAAATGGGCATGTTACATACGTGCCCGATTTCATAATGATCACATAACATTTTAAGTTTTAATGTAATCATAAGCATGTAGTGTGAAGTATATTCAAGGATGCTCACAACAGATACTAATAGAATTTTATTCTATTGGAGATTCCATTAAAAATCTATTAGCATACACAAAACTGGTGGTAGGACCTCTTGTGAGTCCGCACGGGTAGGTACCACCACCCTGCCTATTTCTGCCGTGAAGCAATAATGCGTTTCGGTTTGAAGGGTGGGCCAGCCGTTGTAACTATACTGAGACCTTAGAACTCATATCTCTAGGTAGGTGGCGGTATTTACGTTGTAGATGTCTATAGACTCCGGTAACCTCTTAACACCAGGTGGGCCGTGAGCTGGTCCACCCATCTAAGCAATAAATAAATAATAATAAACAAAGCCGAACGTATACGCCCCTGTCTGGTTTTGTACATCTTGCTAGACACTTTAAAGTGATGGTTACTTGAACAATAATTTGTCCTTGTCTAACTCGCCTTAGAGAAAGGCGGCTAAACAAAACTTGATATACATGTGGGGGTATACGAAAAAAAGGGAAGATCTTCTACAGAGCGGGTGAAATTGCTCGGTAAATCGACGGTCCGAATTTTATCCGGAACTTGTACTTAGCAAACTTATCTTGAAAATGTCGTAAGCGAGATTCGGGCATCAGTCAAATATCTTGTGTCGTGTGATGGCTACCCGCCACATGCAACTTCTCGCGTACGGCAGCTCTAATGCCGGTGTTTGTGCGCAGGAAGTGTACGACATAGCGTTCAGTAGGGCCGGCGGGGGGCGAGATATGTTCGCTTCCGTGGGCGCCGACGGATCCGTCCGGATGTTCGACCTCAGGCATCTAGAACATTCCACCATCATTTATGAGGTAAGTACAAGAGGCAGTAAGCAGCGTTTTTTGGCGTTCGTGCATGGGCGCATACTATCGTTTTTTGGACATATCTCCCGGCGAGTAAATGACTCCATAGAGCGCCTTCTCGTTCAGGGCAAAGTAGAAGACACCAGACCGCGTGGAAAGTTGCACATGCGATAAACTGACCAGGTCAAGTCAGCTATTGGCGGCTGTTTGCATGAGTGTACCAGGCTCACCACAAATCGGGAGGAGTAGCGATTGGTCGTGAGGCGCATAGCATCTGCCCACAGCAATAATGCTGAATAACGACCACGATCGCTCTAACAAGAGTGATACGACAAAGATAAAGATTCAGGAGGCCTGCGGCACGAATGACTAACACAACGAAGGAATGCCGCGTTAAGTCCGAGTTAGTTGACCATGTACTGTGGTAGTAAGACGTCTTGTGAATGTGCACGGATAGGTACCACCACCCAACTTATTCTTGTTGTACTGTGAAAAGTGAGGCCTTAGAACTCGTGTCTCAAGGTGGGTGGTGGTATTAACTTTGTACACATCTATGGATTCCGGTAACCCCTTTAGCACTACGAGGGCCGTAAACAGCAAAGTAGAATCGGCAAAATTGCAGAATTTTCAGTCTAATTAGTAAGATCGATATCACAGATCTGCAGTATCGGGCCGCAAAACAGTCGTCTGTGAGGACCCGTGCAGTTTGCCTGTGAGCGCCACGAACTGGTCTGATCGTGTTTATGTTGAAAAGCTGCTGTCAACATGACAAGTCTTATGGCAGACTGTAATGTAACACGCAGGACCCCCAACACACCCCGCTGCTCCGCCTGGCCTGGAACAAGCAGGACCCGAACTACCTGGCCACCATCGCCATGGACGCGTGCGAGGTGATCATACTGGACGTGCGCGTGCCCTGCACCCCGGTGGCCAGGCTCAACAACCACAGGGCGTGCGTCAACGGCATCGCCTGGGCGCCGCACAGGTTCGTAGGCCACGTAGTAAAGTAGGGGCATCAAGGTTGCTAAACAAGCCCATCCGATATCTCCTCCTCTGGGACTGTGTGCCTCAGCGCATTATGCGCAAAAGATAATTTGCGTAATGACTGGTGGTAGGACCTCTTGTGAGTCCGCACGGGTAGATACCACCGCCCCTGCCTATTTCTGCCGTGAAGTAGTAATACGTTTCGGTTTGAAGGGTGGGGCAGCTGTTGTAACTATACTGAAACCTTAGAACTCGTATCTCAAGGTGGGTGGCGTATTACGTTGTAGATGTCTATGGGCTCCAGTAACCACTTAACAACCGGGTGGGGTGTGAGCTCGTCCACGCACCTAAGCAATAAAAAAAACAATGTTCTTGTCGTCAAGTTCTTAGAACTCTTCAAACTAGACTGTGCAGCAGAAAACACCAACTTTTGTTCTAATTCAGTCCGTAAGGAATGCTCCTTGTATTGTGAACGGACCACAATAATATAAATAATAGTCTAAAAAAAAACGCTTTTATAGAAAATCCAACTAAAAAATAGAAAACAAATTTTAATAAATTTGAATTAAAAATAGTGTAAGAAAAAATGATTTTATTATAAAAAAAACGTGGGGTGCATGGTATCAGTAGTCATAAATATTTTATGAACAGATATGAGTACAAGGGTTATTTTGATAATATCCTGAAAAGCACCCCACGCTTTTTTTATAATAAAATCATTTTTTTTACACTATTTTTAATTCAAATTTATTAAAATTTATTTTCTATTTTTTAGTTGGATTTTCTATAAAAACGTGTTTTTTTTATAACTTTTTTTAAACTATTTTTTATTTTTTAGTTGTTTTTTTAATGTTTTTTTAATATTAAAATGTCATCGGTCCTTAATAAGTATGCCAAATTTCGAGTTAAACCGACGTTTTGAAGGGGGTCAAAATCATGTTCAAAGATTCCGTTATATACTAACATACATACGTCTCATAAAGCTTATTAATAAATAATAATTACAAAATTTTAACCCTCAGACACAGCCCACTGAGTTTCTCGCCGGATTTTCTCAGTGGGTCGCGTTTCCGATCCAGTGGTAGATTCTGCGAAGCACGACTCTTGCTAGGATTCGTGTTAGCAACGTCGTCAGGTTTGAACCCCGTGAGCTCACCGACTAGTTAAAGTTACGCTGAAATAGCCTCTCAAAGCTCTCAGCATAGGTAGAAAAAAAACAATTAGAATAGTATGAATTCTTGTGTTATTTCGGTTCGTTTTAAAGTGAAATTTTTTATTCAGTTCTTGTCACATCTGCACCGCCGGAGACGACCACCAGGCTCTGATCTGGGACATACAGCAGATGCCGCGCGCCATAGAAGACCCGATCCTCGCCTACACCGCCGCCGAGGGAGAGGTCAACCAGATCCAGTGGGGCGCCACACAACCCGACTGGATCGCCATCTGCTACAACCGGCACGCCGAGATACTGCGCGTCTGAATATATCCTGATTGTACAATCCGGTGTGCGGTCGTGTGGACTGTAACCCCTGAAGCCGGCGTGTAGTTTGACGGTAGGACGACAGTCGGTTAAACAATATACATATAGTCCTTAGAATCGGACGGTCGCAACAGATGATCCTTCGAGCTTGATTGTTGGAACGGGTATTTTAGTTGCAACATTTCAATTATTTTATAACTAAGAATTCTAGAAATAGTTCCTGTTTTTATTCAACTTTAATTAATTGTGCTCCTTGTGCGTTTTAAGGTTGAGAGAAATTTAGCAATTAAATAAAAATTAAAACTAATTTAAATAGCACACTGAATCAATCAAGCATTTTGCAAATTTTAGTTTTGTTATAATACACTGTTATAGAGCAGTTGGTTAATTAGTGAACGTTGACAAACTTGTATGATTTAAATTGAATGAATGATATTATAATAATTTCAAATTTTCCACAAACATTTCTCGACCAGTCTCCCTAACTCGAAGGTGCATTCTTTACACTAATCTATTATTTATGAATGGTAATAAAAGTAAACGTCTCGTGCTCGCGGCTGACAATCTCGTTAATCGCCAAGATAATGTTGAGCTTGATACTTAGGTATACACATTGCACTAGACCCCGTACACAACTTCATTACATACAGATGACTTTTTGGCGAGAACGCGTGGAGTGAAATTTTGTCTATTTAGTGTTTCTTCAGGTTTAAAATGTGTAATAACGGTGGTTTATTAACTGTTCAGTATAATTTGTAAAAGTGCACATAATACAAGTGAAAATGAAAAAAATCAACTCAAAAAATTCAAATGTATTCAGATTGCAATACGAGCGCGATGGTCGTTACAATATAATATGATACTTCGACTTCATGGTTCAAGACGGGTGACGCTAATCGCGACGACGACGGCAGACGAGTATACGGCCCACCTGATGGTAAGTGCTTACCGTCACTCATTGACGTCAGCAATTCCAGTGGCAGAGCCAAGCCGCTGCCTACCGTTAAGTACTCTCCACAAGCCTCGTTTGAAGAAGGACATGTCATAGCGTTCGGAAAACACCGTGGAGGGGAGCTCATTCCATAGTCGGATGGTCCGTGGCAAAAATAATGTCTGGAAAAGCGCACGGTGAACGCAGTGGCTCCAGGTAGTATGGATGAACTCTACTCCGGTGGCGGGCAGTGCGATGGTAAAAAAGAGATGTTGGTATCATCTCAAACAATTTCTCAGAGCACTCCCCATGGAATATAAGGTACGTACTCTGATAACTACGCCGTGGGCGGCGCTGAGACGTAGGTCCGTCACTCCTACGCAATAAAAAACGTTTTTTTTTACTTACAAAACGCTGCTACAGCACAGTGACTTATTTGGCATAATAATAAAAAAAAAAGACTGAAATTAACTGTTTGTATTTCTCCTGTATTCCAATGTTATAAAATTAAGGAATTTTGGAGTAAAATTTTTCAAACAACAATATTAGTTTATTGTTTGTGGTCTTAGTGGGATTTAGTTAAAAATGTAATCGAAAAAATATCGCATTTCTTTCAAATTCGAAAATTGTAAAGCTAACGATTACATTAGTAAACTCATTAAAACACAAGTAACACGTAACAAACAAGATCTGCATTTAATACAAAATTCATTTTTGTGTGTTGTGTACAAAAAATAAATCGCTAATATAAAATAATATGTACTTTACGCATCTGTTTGCTTCATTTTATTCCTTTTCATTTATCTAAGTCTGTAAAGATATTTTTCTTTGTGTGTTGTCCTCCATTATATTATATACGAACGCCGTAAAAACTATGTGTGTGCTTAGTGCGAGTTTTTTAACGTTTTCAATCGCGTAAAAGTTAACTCCAATTTGTATGGAGTTGGAACAGCGCCCCTAGTGGCAAACGAAGGGAAGTTTTGTCCAACTCCATACAATTTTCATTTAACTTGACTTGTAATGACGTTTGCGACATAGCGGCAACCTTCAGCCTTCGACAGAGGGCGCGCGTGGAGCTTCAACACTTAGGTATATTTTATGCATTTACCGGTGGTCACAACAATATGATAGAAAAATTTTCGCATTTCAGACAAGCAAATTTGTTGTTAATTTCGTTATAACAATGGAGCCTTAGTCGGCATTTGATAGTAATGACGAAACCAAGCCAGTATTTGTAATTAAAATAACAAAGAACCACTAGTTTATCTGTATTCATCAAATCAATATTATAAAAATGTTGACTTGTCAACTTATTATAACTTATGACTTATTCTGTAAAATATAAGGACTAGATTAAATTATTAATTTATATAAATACATAATTACTATACAAATAGTTTTGTTTTCTGATTAGTAAATATAAATGGTAAAATAAGATAAGGCACTTTCATTTCGTTTCACACAGATTTCTACCCAAGACAGAATTCTTCATAGACTTTCAGTAGTGTATGAGGTGTTCTGGGTTTAAAGTTTCTTAAAACATCCTCGAAATAAGTCATAGTAACTTCTGCACAGTCGAGATCTTTTTCTAGAGCCCTCAAAGCAGCTTCCTGACATAATGCATTCAACTCGGCTCCAGAAAATCCCTCGGTTCTTGACGCTAAAGCATGAGGGTTAACATCGTCACCAATACTCATTGTTTGAAGCTTCAGTTCCAAGATCTGTAGTCTTGTCTCTATGTCCGGTAAAGGCACGTAGATCAATCGATCTAGTCTTCCAGGTCGAAGTAGTGCTCTATCCATCCTGTCCGGTCTGTTGGTAGCAGCTAAAATAGTCACAGAATTTAGAGGTACAACACCATCTAACTCAGTGAGGAGTTGTGCCAGCACTCGTTCATGCACACCGGCCTCCCCTGCACCCCTTTCACCGCCTATAGCATCCATCTCATCAAAAAATATCACAGACGGTGCCACTTGGCGTGCTTTAGTGAACAATTCTCGGACAGCCCGCTCAGATTCTCCCACCCATTTCGAAAACAGTTCAGGACCTTTAATAGACAAAAAATTAAGGCCACTTTCTGTTGCTAAAGCTTTAGCTATCATAGTTTTAGAGCAACCTGGAGGTCCATACATCAATACTCCGCCTGGAGGCTTCACTCCCAGCCTCTTGAAGCTTTCAGCGTGCTTCAATGGCCATTCGACAGCCTGTCGTAATTTTAACTTCAGATCTGCCATACCACCAATATCTGCCCATCTAATATTAGGTACTTCTATTAAAAGCTCCCTCATAGCGCTTGGTCTGACTATTGTCACTGCTGCAATCAAGTCCTCCTTCTCAATGTTTTTGGCTGAACGCTTTATGCATTTCATGGCAGCTTGTGTACACAGATTCACTATATCAGCAGCTACATATCCATGAGCAATATCCGATATTGTCTCAATATCTTGCGAAGACATCTGATTTGGTAAATTTTTCAGTAAGCTATACAAGATATCTTTCCTCCGCACTCTGTCTGGAACCGGTATTTCTATTTCTTTGTCTAATCTTCCAAACCTCCTTAACATAGGATCTATGGCTTCAGGCTTTCTGGTTGTAGCTAGTACAAAGACCTTGCAATTTTCATCATGTAAACTGTCTAAAAATGATACAAAGGCTGAAGTAATGCGTCTCTCTTGTTCAGTACTCCCAGATGAGCGCCTGGGACATATAGTTTCAATTTCATCAACTAATATAATGCTTGGTTGATTATTAACGGCCTTGTCAAATAAACTTTTCATTGTGTTTTCTGTTTCTCCAAAATATTTGCTAAATATTGCTGGTCCATTTATTTCTACATGGAAACATTTGAAATTCTCAATTAGGTATTTACAGATGGCAGTTTTCCCAATCCCTGAATGTCCATAAATAAGTAATCCTCTAGTTGGTTGGAAACTAGCTTTTAAACCAGCCTCATTAAAGGATATTTTAATGTATGTCTGGATTTCTTCCACAATATCATCAACTCCACCTAATGAAATTGGTTTCTTTTGTGTTTTTGGTTCAGATTCTTTACTCATACTCCAAATTGTTTCATTACTGAGAACAAACCAGTCTTTACTAGAGTTATCACTTTCATCTTTGGACTTCACAGTGATCACTTCTATCTCCAATCTTTTACCAAAATAATAATACACTAGTATAGTACCGACTGCTACATAATTTTTATAGAAATGATGTTTCAATATGTCACAGATGTCTGTTTTGATTTTGTTATTTTTTATTTTTATTATAACTTCAGTGGCTTCACTTACATTTTCTTGTAGAACTGCTACTGTAATTTTCTTATTTTCATTTTTCCATGACGCAGGAATGTCTGTCAGGTTTTTAAACATAATTAATATCGGTAATAATTGTTAAGCATAAATTGTGACTGGCATAATAATGGAATATTTCAGTAGTCAAAATACTGAAAGCAATAATATTATCAGCTATTAACGCTTTGCCGTCCTCACATCTCATAAAAATGTATTGGCTTGGCATCAGCAGTGCTAATTCAGATGACTTAGTTTCTCTCCGAGACTCAACCCTGTTCACCTACTTTCATTAAATTCCGAAGATATGGTCACGACACCACTCTGATTTGACCGGCCGTTGGCCGCTATTTTGCGCCCGACACCCCTGTAGTTGCAGTGGCAGTGTAGTGGTTGGACGGCAAGGTGTTAACATAACCAGGGTAAACATGAGATGTACAAATTTTTAAGCTTTTAAATCAATATTAAACTCTCACCAGCGGCAGGAAGTATGACAGCAGCTGGGGAAGACGTTTTGGAGGGCCACATACGCTTCAACATCGCTGGTGCACCCTCGCGGGTTAGTTGTAATGCTCCTCCAATAACTGCATTTATAAGCGAACCAGCCGAAGGATGTACCATAACAGCGTCTCTAGGAATTCCATCAGCGGGGGATCCGGTCCTTTCGAGCCATGTATTTAGCTCTCCGTTATAAATAAATGGGCATTTCACTTGATCTTTTGCACAATTCAATTCCGTGTGAACATTCTTGTCGTTTGACGTTACGCTGCATCCACATTTCTCACATTCAACCCAAAGAGTTTTCTTAGCTTGTTTAGGCGGCATATTTTGGGGCTACCGTCGTTTATGAATCAACTCTGCTATGTTTAGTTACGTATGTATTGTATTTGCTTTTAAGGTTATGTTATTATTAGATTTTTTTTTAACTCTTAGTGGTTTTGATTCCATTTCTTTTAAGTCAAACTTCATTGGATGACAAATGAATGTAAAGTGAAAATGAAGTTAATTAACCTGAACATTAGGCTGTTTAACCTCTCGGTAAAAACTGAAAAATAGCAATGTCCTTAGTGATAACCAATGGTGACAATTAATTTCAAGAATCCAAGCATTTGAGGGAGTTTTTGGCGGGAGCGCGAAGAGTGAAGATGTGTGATATTTTATTTTGTCTATTTAGTATTTCTTCAGGTTTAAATGCGTAATAACGGTGGTTTTTTTTTGTATCTGTGAAAGTGCACAAATGTGGGAAAATGAAACAAAGCCACTGAACGTAACTTCTCAGGGTCCTCCAAAAAGTCCACTGAAAAGGTCTCGGTAAATGACCACCATTGTACTGAAATTATATTCCATCTCATATCATCTCATTTAATGCCATGTTTCATATTAATGAACTTCATTTCATATCACTTCATATTAATATTTTTCATAAAAAATAATATAAAAGATTACGCTTTATGGTATAACATCTTTGCCTTTCCAGTTGGAAAAATAAAATTATTACTACTAAACATTTGACAAATGCTTGATTTGACACTTTTGACAGTGAGTGAATGAATCTGTATTGAGTCCAATGATTAATAAAATGGTTCAATTTACACTTTTAAACGAAAACATCATAAAATAGTGATAAATGTTCCGTATTTCACTTTACTGTATTAAAACTAAGAATAGCTGCAAGACAGCGATTATATTATAGTGTAAATAATTAAGATTTCTAAGATTTAGAAAGTTAAAATGACACTCGCGGAATTCTTTAGTTGTTCCCTGCTGGCGTTTGGGGCTCCGATCGTGATGTTCGCGATGACTGTGGCCACGGATCCAGTGCGCATCATCATTATGATAGCAGCGGCGTTTGGGTGGTTACTGTCTTTTTTGTTGTCCTCGTTAGTATGGTACGCTGTGGTTCCTCTTAGATCATACTTGATTTTTGGAATGATCTTCGCTATAATATTTCAGGTGAGATTTTACAATTGATCTATTTATATTACGCTACATTACTTTCATTTAAAAAATACTTAAAGAAAAATAAGCGAAAATTGATAAATCATTAATGTTGCAGTTTTTTGTAATATCCAAATAAAAAGTAAAAAGTTATCACTTCATTTATATTAACAGGAATTATTCCGGTATGGAATGTATCTCTTACTCAGAAAGACTGAGGCTGGCCTCAAAGAGATATCAGAGAACCATGAGATTGGTAGTAATAAGCTAGAGATGGCTTATGTGTCTGGCCTAGGATTCGGAACAATGAGTGGAGCATTTGCACTAGTTAATGTATTAGCTGACTCGGTGAGTAAATAAAACAAATCTTTTATGTTTTAGTAAACAATTTAACAATAATGTACATAAATTTGCAATTATAATGTAGGACTCTAGTGTATTACGTTCTAGGTTTATGATTTAACTAATTCAAGCATTTGTTAATTTTACAAAAAATCATCAATTTAAAATAACTTCAAAACACTGCTTTTCCCAAGTTCCACTTTCATTTATTTATTTATTGACAAAGTAAAAATAACATATTTTATTTATGATCTGTATGTTGTTACATGACTACTTTTATTATTGCAGATTGGCCCTGGCACATTAGGCCTGAGTGGTGGGACAGAATACTTTTTTGTGACAAGTTCTGCAATGACTCTTTGTATGATACTACTCAACACATTCTGGAGTATTATATTCTTTAGTGGTTTTGATGAAAAGAACTACCTAAAAATTCTCTGGGTTATCATATCACATTTCTTTGTGTCATTTCTAAGTTTATTGAACAGCAGGGAACTCTATGCAGCTTCAATCTTGCCTTCGTACATTGTTCTTATGATAACTTCATATATTGCGTTTCGCTGTGCCGGAGGATCTAGTAAAACTTTTATACAAAGTTTCTCTGCACGGTCATAGGTTATTGTTGAATTTGACCCAGTAAGTGGTGTTGAGACATGTCTAGGAGCGCCATAAGACGGAATCTGTGCTAGTATTGTGTTGTGGTGTGCCTTACATTAATTGATAGTGTGTTAAATAAAATACAGTTTTGTAATCTGAATAGTCTAATATATGGAAGTTGAAAAACTATTTGAATGCACAATTGACAATGCCAATTAATTATATAGGGAAAATCAACATAAATGGCAAATTTAAATAAATAAAACTTGTGAATATATAGCTTGGCTGATAAATTAACAGTATTTTGTTTAGTTTTCTAATTATATTAAAAATGATTCTACACAAGATTGCCCACAATGCTATAATACCACATTTTCCTTCATAATTTCTTAAGTAACTAAAAACATAATAACTTGATTTTGAAACACACAAACACAAATGTGCCACATTTGCAAATGTGGCTTGTGTCTTTCAAAGGCAACTCAGGGCACAGTTTTTATTTTACAGTATAGTACATTAATACATATTCATATAGTTATGTTTAAATACCTCACCAGCTAAATAAGAAATTTAATCAGAAATAAAGTCCTATGGAATTTATGTATTATGATTTCAAATATTCACTACAGCTTGTGATACAAAATGCACTTCATGCTAGGGTGAAGTCTCGTTCCTCTAGTGCAGAAATTCACTTATGAACATTTGACACCAAAGAGACTAGCTATATTGAGCTCAAGCTACATTTGGACTGATCATCGCTCATCATCACTATCTGAATGTTAAACAAAACTTGCCCCGTAGTTAATATGTTAACAGAATTATATTACTTATTTTTACTTTTATTAAAAAACTCAGTTAAAATGACTATGAATAGTTTAAACACTAAAAAGCATGCCTAAATAGAAAGCCAAACAAAAAATAATTTTATCCTGGTAATCTTAGAATGGTTAGATCAATAAATTAATTGCATTGTCAGCAATTCTCAATGTGCAAAATTTTTGAGTTACATCTTAAAATTGGTAAAAATTTCATTGATACAGTACATAGATAGACAGGTCAAGCTAACAAAAAACGTATTAAAAAGGCTGATAAATTAATATGTTTTGTAGTATTTTGATTTAATGTTGCCTACATAATAGACTGAAGTATATTTTAAATTATAAATAGCGAATGAGTCAGGTGTGATTAGGACATTTAATTTAACTAAGCCTTTTTCCATAAATAGAAAAGAAATGTGATGAAAAGTTTTCATCTTCTATGACTAACAGGAAGAAAATGTAATCTACAGGATGCAAGAGATTCCCCACTAATGACATTCCATAAAAAAATCATACACATGTTTTAATGTTCTTTTAATTTTAAGAATAATTTTATTTGAGCTGTTTAATGTAATATTCTAACAAAAAATATGATTTCAAAATAAAGTTCACTGCTCTAACATTGCAACATAATAAATAATGATTTTTATACAAAAATAAAATGATTTAATAATACATAAAATGCATTTTTTTTATTGTCTTTGTAGGCAGACGAGTTTACGGCCCACCTGATGGTGAGTGATTACTGTCGCCCATGAATGTCAGCAATCCCAGTGGCATTTTGAGCCGGAGGCCGAACCTCTTGCGAGGTCCCCTAGAGGCGCCTAAAGGGCGCACGGGGTATGTGGAACTTGACGATCTACAGATGTTGGGAGCAGATCGCGGGCCTAAGGAGTTTTAGTGCCCTACCGCACTAAATGACTCCCCTGCATTCTCACTCTTAACGTCCGGTCTCCATCCGGGGTCAGAACCCTGTCAGAGTAGTGGGGTTTCCGCGGTCAACACTACAACCAGACTCGCGGCGCGGTCTGGTTGTAGCTGGGATACCCCGCTTGGCCAGAACCAGCCTACCGGGTCGGAACGCGATAAACCGCCAACCGCGTTGCTTTTCCACAGTATGTTTCGCGACGACAGCGACAGCAACGCAGAGCGCTGCCGACGACGCGTCGTCCCATCTTGATGCCAGCGCGTTAGAGTGATGGTAGCGTGCGGTGCAGCCTCAACCCCCTCAGGTCGCCCCGTGACCATTACCGGGAGGAGATTGCCTCCTCACGAGGTGCAGAGCCAGCCTGCTGCCTACCGATAAATTCTGCAATAACCACTANGTATGTTTCGCGACGACAGCGACAGCAACGCAGAGCGCTGCCGACGACGCGTCGTCCCATCTTGATGCCAGCGCGTTAGAGTGATGGTAGCGTGCGGTGCAGCCTCAACCCCCTCAGGTCGCCCCGTGACCATTACCGGGAGGAGATTGCCTCCTCACGAGGTGCAGAGCCAGCCTGCTGCCTACCGATAAATTCTGCAATAACCACTATAATTCACGTTTTCATGTAAAATCACATAGAGTAACCATAGTTGACATTAAATTTCGTGATTCTATATTTCAATACATCAAGGGTTAAAAATATAAATGTTGATTGATACAAGTTGGATACAGATATTGCAGTCAGTATCCAATAGGTTTTTGGAATTTGTTTATGTTTGATATTTAATTACCTGCTGCTAAAATGAAAGTCTAACAATCTCCTAAAGTGATTTTCACTATGGTTTTGGTGGTTGATCCACAATCTGCTTGATATAATGAAAACTAGATGAGCTGAAGGGAATTTAGTTCGGTGTTTTAGTGTTGGTATATCCAACTGTAAACAAATGTGGAATGGTAACAGTGATGCAAAACATCAGTTTGAATTGCCTTCCTGGTATTCTTCAGCTAACTGCATGAGTAACGAATCTACTGTCCACACAGTATCTGCGATGTCTGACTCCACCTTTGGTATATATGTTTTGAGTACTTCAAGCACCCCTTCAATGCTGTCTGCAGAGCCACTGATACCTCCTCCAACTTCAGTCAAAGTGTTTACTGTTTCTGTGTTTTTCTGCGTAGGTCTAAAATAATTTCATAAAACTATTCAGAGTACAGTATATTTTATGGAGAAAAAACTATTTCAAATACTTAGCTCATAAACTTAAAACAATTTTAAGGGGTAATCTGATTTCCTCTGTGACTTATATACAGTAAATACTTACACTGGTAGTGATGATATTTCCTTCTCCAATATATCTTGTAGATCATCTAAGTCTGGTATTGTAGGAATATCGTCAGTTGATTCAGGTGATTTGTTTGATATCATAAATTCCCTTAAATGCAAAAAGTAAACTACAATATTATCTGAAACTATACTATTCCATTGAAAATAATTATTAGTCTCAATAATTATTAACTGTAAGTCCAAATTATAAAAAATGTTATTATAAGTGCCTAATTTAATAATGTATATATTCCCTGTTATCAACTTAAGCTCGAAAAAATATTCCTTGGTAAAAATAGGAACCGCAGATTTTGAGTAGAATTATTAAAATTAATTCTGATTATCGCTGGTAAACTAAACAAAAAATGTGGTCTGGTAATGGGTTTTAAATGTATAGCCTATTGAAGTTATTTGATTTTTCTTACTTTGCTTCTATGTGAGTCCCTTCTGCCCAAACACCAATCTTCTTAGGTTCCGGAATAGGATTTAAAAACGATTCGTTCATTATGAAATATGTACAATTCACCTTGATGTAGATGTAGATGACGCTACTGTTAAGCTTGGGTTTTATGTAAAATGTATATATGTAATAGTTAAGTAATTTTCTTGTACAAGTGCTTTAGATTCTATCAATTTGAGTTTGAGTTTACTTATTTGTTTATTTACGCTTTCATTTTTTTTTTTAAAACAGGAAAGACGAAGGTAACGCACCATACATACAGCCAAATCTTTAATTTAGGTTTTTACACAAAAGCAATTTGCTGTCAGAAGTGGATTTTTTTATTTTATTGCTTAGATGGGTGGACAGGCTCACAGCCCACCTTGTGTTAAGTGGTTACTAGAGCCCGTAGACATCTACAACGTAAATGCGCCACCCACCTTGAGATATAAGTTCTAAGGCCTCAGTATAGTTACAACGGTTGCCCCACCCTTCAAGCCGAAACGCATTACTGCTTCACAGCAGAAATAGACAGGGTGGTGGTACCTATCCGCGCGGACTCACAAGAGGTCCTACCACCAGTAAAAAATAAGCAGAAAAAAGTTTTTAAAACTGACATTTGAATGCGTATAGCGAAAAATTTAATTTTAGAGAAAGAAAAGAATTTTCGGATTAGTCTCATACCTACTTTCATAGATGCTAAGTGGTTAACAGTATTGTTTCCTTATCGTTAAGTGTCCTACGTTTAAACACGAAGAAAAAATTCACAAACATTATTACTGGCAAGCCCGTAAAAAAATAGAAAAATCGCATCCCTGGCGTATTAGCCTTTAGAATACGACTTCACCGCGATATACCTGAAAAGACTGAAAAGGTAACACAATAAAAGTACAAGGTAACTTTCATATTTTATTTTAAAGTAGTTATATAAAATGACAACAATATAAATTCTCTGTGTGTTTCATTGCACCATTTAAACAATAACTCTTTCATTGTGATATTCCGTGATGTTTGTTCTATAACGACACTTTTATTACACGACACCATAGCTACGACAATCTATATCGACAACGAATTATTGGACTATTAAAATAAATAATCAGGTAATTACTTCGATCAAAGCTTGACATTTAAATACTATGAGACTTTGTTCTCTTTGTAAAAGACGACCCAAAAAATAGTGTAGGCCCAATGTTTGAAGAAAATAAAATATTTTTATTACATATTTTTTAATATTCTTCATACTATGTACTCTAATTTTATATGCGTTTAAAAATTGGGTTTAACGTATGCGTTAAACCGAGATTTTTATATTAATTTGATCAATATAGTTAGACAGACCGGGTCCACTTATGCAACAAGTCTTTACCGCAAATTTTGAAAGCGACGAGCCATGGCGTGGCGGGTGTACATGAGGTCTACTTAATAGGGGTACTAGTACATGTCGATACGCAACTTTTTCCACCTTTTCTCTAGGTTTTTTTTTATTAGACAAGGACTTGAGCGGATCCAGTAAGACTACTCAATGGACGCGTTAGAGAATATCTCAATCAAAATATAATACTGGCTTTCTGTGCAAGAACACTACGCCGGTACCTAAATAAAGTTCATTGATCGTCAAAGCTCCAATTAAAAAGTTCGTGAGTCCGCGTTACGTACGCCTTTGAGAAAAATAATGTTACACATATCGAACTATTCGATGCGTTTTGGAATTCCAGTCTGTTTAAGAATTGAAATACTGACTACAAATATGATGTTTACGATCTGAAAAAAAAAAACCACACATGCCAGGCACAAAACAAATTTCGTTGTAACGATCCCCAAGTAGGAAACTCCGTAGGACGGGTCAGATACAACTACAGTGATGGAAGCAGCATCAAGAGGTCATGGAGAGTGGTGATGGTGTACTGTCGCATTGACAATCGGGGCACTCACTCGACGCCATGACACAGTCCAGTGTCACTAAAACTTGTGATAATTTTTTTTATAACAGCTAATTGACAGTCAGTCTCTGAGAACAAAATGTATGTGTGCAAAATGAAACAAATGTAATTTTGCATTATTTTCATACTAGACCGAGAGCACACTGAGTGACGTCACTCAGTATGTCTCTACCTTAACTAGACACATTATCTCTGCAATTGTGATAATAGAAACAACAAAGATAGCAAACGAAATTTTAAAAAGATGTTTACCTTGAGTTGAACTATTTTATAAACATTTTACACAATTAATTATCTGAAATAAATAACCGAAAATATAATCGAGAAAAAAACCACATGATTAATTAAAAAATCACACATCAAATACAAATTTTACATTATTTTTTATTTATTTACAAAAAAGTATAATCTATTTGGTAACAAATTCAAAATTAATATAGTTCTAGTGTTGAGATGATAATATCGATAATATTATTTATTATTCTACGAATCATTACTGTTTTATCACACGCGTTAACGAACTCAACAATAAATTTCATTGCTCATTATTTATTGATTTGCTGCTTTTGAATGATGTTATATCTAAATATATCTGAGAAGGTTAAATAAAACAGTTTCGTACGTTTGTTTGTCGATTGATTTTCTTTAGAAACTATTGACGAATTATACAGATTATCAATAAAAATTTTGGAAGCATGTTTCTATACTCACTAACAAAAGAAAAAAACGTAGTACACAAAATGAATCTAAGTCTTGGGGTATCAGTGAATAAGGTCAAATTTCGATCGTTAGACGTACACTACGTATTATAAATACGAACATTTTTGAGAATGTGATGATGTTTGTCGCGTAATGAAAAAACATAATTAAAAGTTCCCAATAGTCACTTCTAATCTAGTAGAAATGGTATTGCACAAAACTTAATATTTCCAGAATAAAAAATGGCGTGAAAGAGAATGTTCATCTAGCCACGCTAATGAGAGATTGTCTTCAATTTTTAATCTTCTACAACTAAATGCATAATATAAAAACTGTGTTACACGATACACACTCGCAGACCTACAGATCTTTAATTCAAATTAATGAATTCAATTAATTTATACAAAAAAAAAAACGAAATGCAGTATTATAACAACCTTTAACGCATAAAGTGCCTTTGCTATGAAAAATAATAGAGATTATATTTAATATTTAAAAAGCTCATAAGAAGCTGCGTAAACATTGTACTCTATAATCAACATATTATGACGTTACATAGCTTTTCAACAAGAAAATACAAACAGTTCGACATGAATATGTGCAGCTTGTTCAAGTTAAATTTGTAACTTGTATAGTTCAAAGTGAATCTCGCCGACTACCCTCAAACAAAAGTTTTAATAACAGTAGACTTTTATTATAATACAATACTTTTTAAAGAATACAATATTGTATCATTATCAATATGCAATGTAGTGTGGCACAGCACTAGCACACACGACGTTATTTTATGGTCGAATATTATTTCTGACAATTTAGTTAATTGTAAGCAATTTTTTCTAGACTTTTGCCACTAACATATTAATGTCCGGGGGCATTCTGAAGCGGATATTAAATTGTTCAATGTCATCGTGTATCTAACACGCAAATATCTACAAACGAGTTCCACAGTAAAAATAATAACTCAGTTTATTTTATCATAGAGCTGTACAGTTCTAAAGAGGATCGATTGGGCGCAACTTCCTTACAGGCGTCAAATACACACCCATTAGCCACATATGAGGTCACGTTTTGTGATTAGTGTTCAATGTTAAGAATCAATTGATTTTATGTAGTCATTTAAAAATTTATTATTTTTTTATAAATATTTAATGATATTGAAATATATAATTAATGGTTTTAATTTAATTAACATCTCTAAAAACGATTGTTTAAATTTATTTTAGTTATTGGTCTTCTATTGAAAGGCGGTACATATAGCTACAGTTAAAAAGAACATACAGTAACAAAAACTTGTATCAATAACTTTGTGAACACATTATTATTATAATTTCCGAAGGCGGAGTGTCTGCCAAACAACAAGTTGTCTAAATTCGTTGTCCACAGCATTATTACTTTAGCTTTAGTTAATTTTTTGCAAATTCTGAAAGTTTCCGTATTGATTAGATTTGGACTATTTCATAATGTTTAAAGCCGTCGAAACTCCCGCCAACAATATTGGATATGTAAAATTAAGTACCAATATTTTTGGAGCAAGGTTTATTTTTTTACTTATAATCCGAGATTCAATATTCGTATAAATCAGATTGCGTTGAGTGGCAAGCGGGCGGCGTAAATAAAACCATCGACAATGTCATTGACAATGTTATCATGACCACACTGGACTCGATCGAATCGGTGTCAGTTTCGTGGATATATTGAGTTATGCCAGCGCAGTGTCCGCATGTGACGAGAGCCAACAAACGTGAAGGTATCTTGTGCGTTACATAAAGTTGACAGCCACTGGCTGCGCACGACGGCTCTCAACCTCTGCGGCGCCGCGCTCCACGTCCCTTCGCCCTTCGCTTCAGATTAAGAAGCGTCGCATTAAAAAAACAATTTTTTATGATCGAGCTATTTTTTCCACTAGCAACATTAGAAGTTTGCTGTTGCCAGAGTTGATATTTTGATTGAATTTAATATTTTTATTTCATTATATTACAAGTGATGTTTATTTAAATTATTTGTATTATCCTAGTTGGTCTGTCGGTTTATTGATAATGTCAGTTATCGTAAGATCATCTTTCTCGATTTCTGTTTGTACGTATGTGTGCATCGCGTGGATACAAACTACACATATTCCTGTCGTGTTGAAGGCAGGGCATAGATTTATCAGTTTCTCAACAGAATCCTTCGAGAATCATTTCACTTTATCAATAACTCATTTATCACATGTCCATAACTAAGCTTAAGCTACATTACACATACAAATTAAAAATAGTTTATATCTTACGAGGCCCCCCACCGGGGCGCTACTGTCGGCCTCAACGTTGAGGTTCACAGCAGGAGGTCGCTTGTGGAGAGCTTGTTGAGGTCGGCAGAGAGCATGTTCCCGTCCCCCCCAAGGAGGGATCGGAACTCGCTGGAGTTGAGTATGGGCTCGCGGTCAAGGAACTGGGCGGAGAACGTGGTCCCGGCGCCGTCCGCCTCCGCGCCCTGGGGCAGCTGCAATACAATACAACGCTGTATACTGCTGCGGGGGCGGCCGAGCTCACCACTGTGCTTACAAGTCGCATACCGACCTTCAGACACCAGACCGAAGTCTATTTAATTGTAGGTTTTTTTATTATTGCTTAGTTGGGTGGACGAGCTCACAGCCCACCTGGTGTTAAGTGGTTACTGGAGCCCATAGACATCTACAACGTAAATGCGCCACCCACCTTGGGATATAAGTTCTAATGTCTCAGTATAGTTACAACGGCTGCCCCACCCTTCAAACCGAAACGCATTACTGCTTCACGGCAGGAATAGGCAGGGCGGTGGACGTGGGCGTGGACTCTCAAGAGGTCCTACCCCCAGTAACAAGCATGTCAGCTTCTCGACAGAAATAATAATTATACTGTAAAATAAACTTTCTAAAATAGTCATTTTAGGGTCGCAGAATTTTTTAAATACTGAACTGAAGCAATTTATCGCCAGAGTAGAAGACAAAATTTACAATGACCGATACGACAGTGACCACGTCGTGTCCGACGCCACGTGGTCGCGACTTGCACAGTCTGGAGGTTGTTGGTTCTCAACGCGGCCAGGGCAGGGGGCCTACGGGGGACACGGGGGCGGATGAGCCTCCGTGAGACTACTAATAATATTTAAGTATTTATTTTTATTGTAGCCATTTACAAAATTCATGTTGTTGCTCATTGTCTTACTGATGTATTTCTTTTAAAATAGTAATAGTAATTCTTACGTGATTATAAGTGTTGTGTTGCATGTTGGGCGATGTAGACCCGACTTGCATCATCGGGCCGACCATGGGGGACACGCAGGCGCCGCCGTGCATGGGGGACACGCAGGGGCCGCCGTGCATGGGGGAGCCGCACTGGGGGTCCTGCATGGGGGACACGGACTGCCCCCTGTGCATGGGGGACAGGGAGTGGGGGGAGTGCATGACGTTGGCGCCGGGCTGCAGCGGCTGGAGGCCCTGTCCATACGGCACATTACTCCAGGCCATGTCGGCGAAGGTGTCCATGTTGGTGGCGGCCGGTACGGCGAGGTCCGGTATCGTTCGCATCTGCTCCGCGGGAACCATCCAATTCTAGAATTCAGAGAACTTTCTTTAACAAATGCGACGCGTTTATGTTATATCAACTTTAGTTTTTTTAGATGACGTGGATATTTCTCTCGTTTTTTATTTTCAAATATTATTATAATTTTTTATATATAGAGTGCGTTGAAGGCATTCTGGAGAACGATGGCTTGTGATATAACTAAGGAAACGTCACCATTTATTTTACTAATATTTTTAAGCAGCGCACAGTGTATTTCTATTAAGAATTGACAGACGAGACTCAAAGAGAATGCGGGTGCATACATGATTCACTTTTTTTGAGTCAGCTACTTCCAAACTCTGCACCAAGAGCGTTCGGGCAGCGCGAGCTTTCCGAGCTTTGAGATCCCAGATAATGCGGTCAGTCGACTTAGTAAATTTTTTTAAGGGATTTTATGACCTGGTACAAAGACCTTTAGTCGAATCTCATTTTAATTTTGATAAAAACTTTCTTTATATGAAAAATGATATTATGAAATGAAATTAAATGAGGTGATATGATATGGGATGAAATATAATCTTAGTAAAATGGTGGTCATTTACTGAGACTTTTTTAGTGGACTTTTTGGAGGATCCCGAGAAGTTACTCTCAGTGGCTTTGTTTCATTTTCCCACATTTGTGCACTTTCACAGGTACTAAACAATTAATAAACCACCGTTATTACACATTTAAACCTGAAGAACAAAAAACAAATAGACAATATAAAACAAATCACACAACTTCACTCCTCGCGTTCCCGCCAAAAAGTCTCGATTTAGTTAATTATTATGGTTGAACACAAAGAAGCTTACTAAACATTTTTTTATGCATAGACGAGTTTCAGTTCTCTGAGTCCGCCTGGCGAGAAGGGAATACTGGAGCCCATAGACATCACAACTTGAATGTCGCCATCTTGATATTTTGATGAGGTGGAAGTCTCATTGTATTGAATTGTACAGTAATTACTAATATTTATATTAATACGTGAAGCAAAAATGTTGTGCCCCTTTTTACGAAAATTCCGCGGACGGAGGAGTATAGAATTTCCCACGCTTATAGAGAATATAGAGAAGGAGTGCAAAATATTAATATTTTTCTAATTATGCGTAAAAATAAACATTACACACACTACCATGTATTTGACACAACACGCATTTATTGTCAAACTTTTGTTATTGTTTAAAGTCTGTAGTCAAATTGAGGATAGATTAAATATTGTTTGTCTTTATTAATATTTGTCTATAGTGTAGTCTTGACTAAATCTGTCATTATAGAAATTTATTACTCTTTGACATAGAACTTCAATTAATTATAGTCGAATTTCGACTGCCGGGGGACCACTAGTTATATAAATTACGCATATATAATTTTTGCTCTGTTCAAAATTTCAAAGAAATATGTGATCTGTTAGATCTCAATAATGATTCCGGAACCGCCAAAAGGATCGAGTCGGTTGTTGTAGACCGCGGGCTACTCACCGGGTCGCTGTAGGGCGGGTACGCGCCGTAGGGCGACGTGGCGTGGTGCGGCGACTTCTCTGCAATACAATGCGTTAATATAGTTACAGCCCTATGTTCAGAAGTGGACTGATATAGCCTGATGATGATGATGTAGGTGGTGATGAGTATAGTTTTAAACCAACAAACATGTGTCGACGGGTCAATTAAAAACGAATTTAATATTATTTGTATCCTGTTGAGGACAACAGGTCTAAGTGCTCATATTGTTGTGTCGCCATCGGTCCTTGACGCGAGTGACAATTGCCAGGTTAGTGACATGTTCAAGTTGTTGTAAGTTGGAACATTCCGTCACACAGATATACATATATACAAGCAGGGGGGGCGCAGCGACCACCCCCCGGGTACTTAAGGTACTCACCTCTGGGCTCCGCCTTGATCGGCATCTGCTCCTGGAAGGTCCCTGCGAACGTACAGATATGTTCAGGATTATGTGTGGTTTGAACATTGTGGTTAACAATAAAAACAACAAACATATTTACAGCGCAAAAAAATTTCAAGCGTATAAGTAATTCGCATTTCAAAAATACATTTAATAAAACATTAACCCTTAGATGCTGTATTGATTATTTCTAAATAATATTTCTGAAATGCAAATTCAAACACGACTTTGATTAAAAACAAAAAAAAAATGATGATGTAATTGTGGAAGTGTGAGTCCTAAGATCTAATCTGAGTGGTGTTGATAGCTTGTGTATAATAATAATTGTACTTATAAAGCAAAACAACTAGCTAACTAAAATTCAAGCTCTCGAAGGAATGGTGTGAAACTCTACCAAAACTCTACCAAAAATAAATAACTGTATCATGCGACGGGGTGAGCCCCCAGCCCGGGATTGGGGGCCCCCGGGGTGAACCCGATAATTTGTCGTTGTGACGGGGTCTTATGACTTTCAACCTCTAACGACCTTGCTCTAAAGTTACGTTTACCACTATTGTCTACTTTCAAAAGTTGGATCTATGTGTAACGTTGACAATAAGAAATCAACAAAAATATTACAACACACATACATACACACACAAATGCACGCAACATAACTTTTAATAATAATATACGTAAATATAATATATCATATTTATAATTATATATATTAATATATAATATTTCAAATAAGAGTGCCGACTGCGGTCAGAGAAAACACACACACACACAAGCGCTGACTCTACGTAGTGTCGCGGGGCGGCGCGGGCCGGATGTATTAACGGATAAAGCAAACATCGACACGCCAGAACCAAGCTTCGGCGATTTTGTAAGTCTTATGCTGTTGGTTCGTTTCAAATTGTGTTTTCGATCGTAGGCTGCGTCCCTCCGGGGGACCCACAGCGGGCCGCGTCCCCCCGGGGGGCCTACAGCGGGCCACATCCCCCCGGGGGGACATAGAGCAGGCCGCGCTTGTCTCTGGCGCGCCGGTAGTGGTCACAGCGACGCGCATGCTTAGTACAACGGGGCGGATACCTGCGGCTCGGGGCGTGCGGGGACGTTACAAAACAAGTAGATACGTAATATAGTTTTATTGGCGTTATTCATCGTCTCCATTCAAGCCTTATCTTCGTATAAACCGTAAAATCTAGTTACATACGTGTCGATAGTTAGTGGCAATGACCTAGTCATTGGCTAACCGAACCTTTTTTTGACTACGGCTTGTAGACCGACAATATAACAGAGTCGCTTCTATATGCTCAATTCAAACCATATCCAAATTCTATTGGCAGATTTTAATAACAAAAATGATAAATGCTATGTTATTACTTGATTTGATTTACGTACTAACTACTTCATATTATTATACAGATTAAAGAAACAAAGATTATTATTGATATACTGTTTTATCGACTCGCGCTCCAAATTACAAAGATAAGTTACAAAAGCATGTCCGCTGCACACGAAGCTAACTGACCAGCTGTGTCAATTCAATATAAATACCTCACGGTTTAACAATATTTATCTATAAAAAAGGTTATAAAAACATTTTCGATATAATATTAACCAAATACGTAGTTTTTGTTTTCGATATATCGATACAACTTTCACGAAAACACTATTTTTATCACTTACATCACTAACGTTTAAATTTCTAAAAAACCACATGTACACGTGTATAATGAATAAGTTGTAATCGAATTTAAGACCTTTTAGTGTACTTAGTGTGAGTTTTTAACGTTCTCGATAGCGTAAAAGTTAACTCAAATTTGTATGCAGTTGGAACAGCGCCCCTAGCGGCAAACGCAGGCAAACGTTCCTTCACACAAGTTTGAGTTAACTTTTACGCTATCGAAAACGTTAAAAAGCTCGCACTAACCGACCGCGGACCGGGCGTGCCCTGTTCTATAAACATTCTAATTAAAAACGTACAAAAATATTGTTTTACCGACAGACACAAAATACATTATATAAATAGTAATAATTAACTGCACCGAGTAATGCACGGTTTTAAGGTCTATATAATTTTGATACCGTGTTCAATACATCCTGATCATGTTGTTAGTACCCACACATCCACATTAGATAATTAAGATATACATAATACAAGGCGCTGTGGACTGTTTGTTCACTGTAACAATGTCGGTATCGACTCGATTGAATGGTTTTTTAAAAGGCCTTCTCATCGAGTAGCCGCCATGCCCATATTATTGTATTTTTCTCATAAACTACTAATAAAATTGACCGCTTGTCTTAGGACATCACTTGAATACACTTCATAAGTACAACAATATAAAAGCGAGACCTACAAAAATAGTTAAATTGATATTCAGTTAATTTTTTAAAAACTTTGCAATTGTAATTGGTCCTATTGTTAATTGCTTTTGTATGTAATAGATACATGGGTCACGGTGGAGGCAAAGATAAATCGGATGATGAAAAATTGTTTGTGTGGCTGTGTGGCGAGGGGGGACCGGTCGGGGGCGGGGGAGGGGGGACAGTCCGCCCCTAGTGCGCCCCGCGTTTCCTCTCTATGCCAGCGCATTCGTTGTAGGTGCTCTAAGACCAGCACTGATAATTTAATTTTGTGTTTCATAAGCTCATACCAATCATATTGGAACTGATTTTTCTTTAGAACTTAAAGGTATACTTTCGTTTTAAAAAAAACAACAATGAGAACAACATATACCCTACCCTAATTTTTTACGCAACATTTTTTGTATTTTTTTTTATTCAACACCAAAATTTTTGTTAGTAACATCCACTGCCATTAAATAAATAAATCCTAAACTTATATCATATTAGAAGAAAACATTAGTTGTTAAGATAATCAATTAAACTGAACGCATCGTTTTCAATGTAAACTAACTATGGTGTGGCAACATTTAGGGGTTGCCATGTGCGAAGCACCAATATTTATATTAATCTTATAAATATAGAATGCGGTATAAGATATAAGAATATGTGTTGTGTTTAATTATACATAATAAATTTTGTTAGAAATACATTTCTTTTTAAATAAATCTTAAAATAATCAGACAAAGTTGGTGTGTATTTTTTGAGAATTTCAACAGATTTTGTTTTAGTAAAAGTTTATATAAAAATTGTTTCTAACAATCATTTTTTATGACAAAAATGTAAGAAACAAATGCACGACGTATGTGTGGAGTAAATCATAGTTTAATGATGATACCCTTCACCGTATAAATGTAAATAACATGTAATGATACATATTTAAATAATTAATTTTTAAAAATGCGCGGTCCCGTCCGTGAGCAAATTCTACCTTTCACCATTATTCGTGTAAACTATAGAATTTGCTGCAATCGGAACTTCTTTAGATAATAAATCGATAAAAATTGATGTAGACTTACTTTCTTGCTCATACGCGGCCATTAATGGCATTTTGGTCTTCCGCTTTTTACCCAATATGTAATTTGAATCTAAAAAAATTTAAATCATAACATTAGTCGGACAAATCGACAGTTTCTCAACAATCAAATAAGTATATGAAATATTTTAATTAACAATTTGTAACGAAAACAAAAAAAAACGAAAACTTAACAAAAATAAATAAATAGTAACGAAAGCGTAAATTAGACTAGAAGTGGGGGTTCGGGGGAGGGGGCACAGGGAGCCCCTCATTGACGAAGGAAGTTGCTCCCGTCCAGCGGGGAGTAGTACGAGCTCTGGTCGTCGAACTCGGACGCGGTGGCTCGCGGCGCCAGCGCCATGTACAGCGCGTAGTGCTCCGCCTCCGTCAGCTCCAGCTCGTCCTGCAGCCGCCGGAACGACGACGCGTCCAGCGCCAGCACGCTCTCCGCCACCAGGATCGCGTCCGCCGGCGGCGCCGCGCACACCGACACGTCCTCGTGCAGCGACACGTGCGTCACGCTGTCCGCCGCGCGCAGCCCGCCCCCCGCGCCTCCCCCCGCCGCGCCCCCCGCCGCCCAGCGCGCCGGCCGCTGCCCCGACACGCTGCTCACGGAGCGCCCCACCGGCCGCGCGCGCGCCTCCTGCACGCTGGGGGCCGGGGACTTGTCGCGCCGCCGGAACAGCCGCGAGAAGAACGAGCGCTTCTTGGCGGGCGGCAGCGCCGGCTCGCTCCGGGCCGCCGACAGCTTCTCGTCGGGCGGCGGCAGGCGGGCCGGCCGCGCCGCGCTCTCCACGGAGGTCTGGCTGGACCTGAACTCCGAGGAGACGGACTTGCGGACGCGCTTGGGGGGCAGGGGGGGCGCCTCGTCCGTGTCGCGCTTCAAGGGCGTGAACTCGACGATGGGGCCGCGGAACGTCTGCACGTGCACGTCCTCGTAGGGCGGCGGCTCGGGCTCGGCGATGGGCAGCGGGTTCTTGAAGGCGAGCTGCAGGCTGGTGTAGGTGCCGGCGTCGTTGAAGTCGTCGGCGTCGGTCTCGGTGTCGACGGCGTCGGCGGCGCGCTGCAGGCGGCTGCGGCTCTCGGAGTAGATCTCGTCGAGCTCGGCGACCTGCTCCAGCAGATCGTCGAGGCTCTTCTCGTGCGGCTCCGCGTGTCCGTTGGTCTCGGCGACGGCGGGCTCGGGGTCGGGGGGCGGGGGCGAGGGTACGGGGTCGGGGGAAGAGGGGACGGAGACGGCCTCGTCCTTGTTGTTATTATTGGTGTCGCGTTTCTCAGCGAGGAGAAGGGAGAGGAAGGACAGGTCCGGGGGCGGCTTACGGCGAGTGGTACCTCGGAAGTCCGGGATGTATTCGAACGCGAAGGAGTTGCTCCGCGCGTCGTCCGTCAGCCTCTTCAGCTGGAAGTGTACCTGCAACGGGAGGCGCGTGGTTAGGGTGGCGGGCGGGGGGCGGGGGGCGGCGGGGCGGCGGGCGCGCTACTCACGGTGACGTGCTCGTCGCGCTGGGGGTCGCGGTAGGGCGGCGTGTTGAACACCACGGCGACCTGCTTGTGCACGTAGGACGGCGTCACGGTCTCCTCCCACACTATCTGCTCGTTCACCTCCTGGTAGAATATCACCGCCGTGTCTTCTTTCGATACCTGAATATTGACGCCATTATTGTTATCGATCACTGAGTTTAGAGTTTTGAATGTTTTTTGGAAAAAAGAAAACTTACATCCTACCCAGTATTAAATATTTAGCAGAATGTACCAACACAGTATGATGATACCGCTCATTTTGAGTCGTGAATATGAAGATCTAATTGAAGTGGATTTTATTTATTGTTCTGGACCCCCTTCAAGGGGGGACCCTTGCTTTCTCCGCAGGAGAAACAGAACGGGCTTCACAAGCTATTCTTGGGCGAGGTAGGGACACAAGACGACAGAGTAGTGACGTACCTTCTCGCAGAGCAGGATGACCTGCGTGCCGCCGCGGATGGTGCCGGAGCAGTGCGAGGAGCGCATGATGAGGAGGTCGCTCATGGCCTTCTTGTCGTAGATGATGTCGGACACGACGGCGGGCAGCGGCCGGCGCATGCGCCCGGCGCCGTCCGGCACGAACACTTGGAAGGCGAGCCGCACCGCGTTGAGGTCGATGCTCTGCGTGTGCGAGCGGTGGTCGAACCCCGCTGTGCCCAACGTACACTTTACATGCACCCGACCTACACTAGCACGTGTCGCCATCCGGCTTTCTCTAGTGAGGCCAGAGGAAGCCAGATGGCAGGCGCTCGGAAGCGGTGCGGTAGGCACCACTCTCCGACTTTAGATCCAGCATTGCTTTCTGGTGGGCTGTGTGCTCTTCTATGATAAACTTAAATGGCAATAAACAAGATTTTGATATTTATGTCGTTAATTACGAGGAGCGACGAAATTATGAACAACTTGACACGTCTTCATTTGTGTTTTTGTTATTTATTGCTGTTGGACGAGCTCACGGTCCACCTGGTTTTAAGTGGTTATCGGGGCATAACTACAACGTAAATGGCGTAATCGACTTCGAGACATGAGTTCTAAGGTCTCCGTTTTTTTACTGTACAACGGCTGTCCCTACCTTAAAACCGTAAAGTATTATTGCTTCAGGGCAGGAATAGGCAGAGTGGTAGTACCTACCCGTGCGGACTCACAAGACGTCCTGTCACCTCCTCATGAAACCGTCACCATAAATTAAATTTCTATTTATTTCATAAATATTTGACCGAAATTTTGAGTGATCCGGCGCGCCGACCCGCATTTCCTTCCATGGCGGTCGCGCGTGTAGTTGAACAATTAGGGATATTTTTGGACGAGCTATTTCGGGTAACGCATCGGAGCCCGTGGCAGTACAAAGCTAGCAATAAGTTGTACTTTGTAAACAAAATACGTTATACGATCTCAATTCAAAAGCTTTGGTCCCTTCGCGAACCTTACTATACTGGCGCATACTTGTAACAACTGAATGGCTGCAACTGGGCGCCTTCTCTCAAATCTGATCTTAATAAACGCACTTTTAGTTCGCAAACGGATTTGATGTTACGAGTCATACCAGACAGACACAGAAAGCAGTATTTTGTACAATGACGTCAACGTTTAGAGACCTTTAAAAATTATATAACTCGAAACACGACTCTACCAAACTATTTGTGTTCGTGTATTGCGTGACGTGAACGTGTGATTATTCCTAGAATAAAAAAATTGGATTCTAATAGAACTCACTCCTGAAGGGGTCCACCCTGAGCTCCTCCCGGAGGCGCAGCTCGGCGACGATGTCCTTGCGCTTGACGCATTGTATCCCGAGGTTCCTGAACTGGTACTCGTTGTTGTCCTCCGTGACGTCGGTGCGCACCGAGCACACGCCGCGGTCGCAGCGCTCCCGCCCCACCAGGTTGTGCGGGTGCGGTCTGCGCGTCACCACACACGTGACAGGTACATACATACAACTCCGCAGGACAACGCCCAGGGAATAATGCCCTTGTAGGCAGACGAGCACACGGTCCACCTGATGGTGAGTGGATACCGTCGCCCATGGACTTCAGCATTGCCAGGGGCAGACCCAAGCCGCTGCCTACCGCTTAACACTCTTCACAAGCCTCGTTTGAAGAAGAACATGTCATAGCGCTCGGGAAACACCGTGGAGGGGAGCTCATTCCAGAGCCGGATAGTACGCGGCAAAAAAGACCTCTGGAAACGCACTGTAGATGAACTCGTATTCCGATGGCAGGCGGTGCGATGGTAAAAACGAGATGACGGTATCATCTCGAACAATTCGAAATCGACATATTGCAACACCGCGAACCAAATTGTGTTATTATTGAAAATTCATTTGTGTATGATCGGAATTCATTGGAAGAAGACCTTGTTCCAGTATTACGTAAGCAAATTTATTACAATTATTCACCCCCCCTTTCCCCTTGTCAGCACAAGTAAACAAAGCTCTGACCCCAAATGCTAACGTGAACATTAGTATTTGAATTTTTCTACTAACGTATTCTAATTTTTTTAATGATTAATCAGCAGCAATTATAATTCTAAAAATAAGAAAATAGTCTTATAGGATAGAGGACTTTAACGCACATCATATTCATTTATATGCGCGCAATAATTCCCCTACTCGGTTCCAAGCGAGTACGTAAACGTATTATTATTCATGGGAATCCCCGAAAATGCGTTTCGTTTTCAAGCATAGACAATGTGTAGGTTGTCAATATGTGTAAAAAAATAAATAACCACTGCGACATAATCACCCCACATGTCATCAAAAATAAGCAAAGTAAACCCGCACGCAGTCAGTCAGTAATCGGAACTACTCGAAGCGAAGCGAAACACGAACGGATCACCTGAAGCGAAGCGGAACAAGCGAATTGAGTGTTTTAAAGTGTTTAAGTGTTCCAAGTCTTTAATACAGTTTTTTTGTTGTAGTTTGGTGAAATTTTATTCATAGAACCCCAGCGCGTAACAATATTTTAGAAAAAAAAAAGGCGACACTTACTTAAACGGGGGATCCTTGTTGACGCAGGACACGACTATGGTGGCCGGTCCCTTGTAAGAGCATATCTTGATTGTAGGATAAGTTTTGTTCTCCGGAGTACTGGACACGCCCGGGAGCGAGCCCGCCGACCGGCCCTCGCATTTGTACCGGAATCTGCAACAAACATATGTGAGGTTCGCATAGTTTTCTTTGCAATTTAGATAACGCCATCCTGTCGACTTCTCCGGTGAAGCAGTAACTCATTCCAGATAATCGCGTGCGGTGGTTTAGCTGTTTTGCCGTCGAAATTTCGGTTTCATGTCATAAGGTCCGTAAATTTTTTCCGTCCGTAGTTTTTCTAAAGGTTTCTTTAGAAAAAATATTGACAGCGTGCATTACAAAACATTTTTTTTTTTACTTAGTTCGTATGAGCGTCACACTGTACGATCTGTACGCCTAAAACCTTGTAATTATCTAGGTAAAGGAAACAGTACATAGTTTAGTACATACGCATTTTTTCACAGTTACTCTTATTTTACTGGTGGCAGGGCGTTTTGTGATCTCGCACGGGTAGCGATAGCGTATAGTCACTACCCTGCCTATTTCTGCCGTGAAACAGCAATGCCTTTCGGTTCGAAGGTTGGGGTAGCCGTTGAACATAAAAACTGAGACTTAGAACTCATGTTTCAAGGTAAATTAACGATTAAACCGTAATTCAATATATCTCGCCCGGTAACAAAGAATACTCGTATTAAAACCAATACAATTCAAACGCGAAGATATTAACAGGTCATGCACACAGGCCGCGTAATGAGAGCACGTTTATAATTAGAAAGCCACATACATGCGGAGTTCGAAACATTGTTTATATCAACTTAAAATTTTATTAGCTTACGCTGGCAGCGGGCTTGCGGTTCGAGCAAAATCGGCTGTTATGCATTTTTTTTTTCCTACCTAAGCTGATAGCCTTGAGAGGCTATTTCAGCGTAACCTTAACTAGTAGGTGAGCTCACGGGGCTCAAGCCTGACGATGTTGCTAACACGAACCCTAGCAAGAGCAGTGCTTCGCAGAATCTACCAACGGATCGGAAATGCGACCCACTGAGAAGATCCGGCAAGAAACTCAGTGGGCTACTATGTCGTGAATGGGTGTTCGTTGGAAAAATTGGGTTTTATTTTATTTGATTGCCCGCCTCGTTTAGTGTTAAACGGCCACCAGAACCGCGATAGCTGACACTCATCTTGAGACATATACACCGAAGAATAGAAAGGTGCTAAAATAGTTATCTCTAACAGATGAAATGGACGGGTCGTTTTAATCGTTGATCGTTTTGTCCACACGGGTAGGTACCCCCGCCCTGCCTATTTCTGCACGAACGACAAAGAGGCACAATCGGTGCCTCTTTGTCGCTCGTTGCGCGCTCTCTCTTGCACTTCAAGCTTTAAATGGAACGCCTCAGAGCGAGGTAATCAAATTATAATCACGTCAAAAAAAACATTAAATGCATGAATCAGAAGTGGTCACGGTTATCCATTTCTAGTTAGCCGACCCATTCGTCAGCAACGTGCACAATAATCACCCAAAAGCTTATATCTTTCAGGAAACCAAACCCGAAAATAGTATGAGCAGGAAAATATTACATTTTCCTTCTAATCATAATACGATTATAACAAAATTAATTAAGAACTCATTCAATTCTATTTAGGTATGTTTACTGAACTATTGCCATATGCGAACATCTGGTCAATATTATTAATATAGATTGTGTATATTTAAGATTGGTCTTACCAACATACATAACGGTCTGGCATATCAATGTGCGATGAAATTTACATCGACGATCGTTTTTTTTTATTGCTTAGCTGGGTGGGCGAGCTCACAGCTCACCTGATGTTAGATGGTTACTGGAGCCCATAGACATCTACAACGTAAATGCGCCACCCACATTGAGATGTAAATTCTAAGGTCTCAGTATAGTTACAACGGCTGCCCCACCCTTCAAACCAAAACGCATTACTGCTTCACGGCAGAAATAGGCAGGGTGGTGGTACCTACCCGCGCGGACTCACAAGAGGTCCTACCACCAGCCTTTCTCAAAATTTATATTTGTATACCAGAAATTGTATATGTAGCGATCCTCTTTAATTCATAATAATTAAATAATACACAAGACCTCGTTACGTTGCTAAGTAATTGCCGTAGCAGTTTTGATGGTTACTGGCATGAATTATAAATTAATTAGATAAAGATCCACCCCTTTTTAAGTGGACCTTTAAAAGTATATAGGGATGAAAGGCTATATGGTTTAAGAGACATTTTATTTAACACGCGACATTTATCTTTGTAATTAATGGTGCGCTTTATTTGGTATTACCATCAACGGTTCGATGTTTTTAATTGAACTTCAATTAAGTTTACTCCATTCAAATAGCTGAAGAATGATTGTTATGATATATTTTTTCCAAATTTTAAACTTTAAATGGCTCTAAAGGTAATTTTTCAAAAATGTAGCTTCAACAAAACTAGTGGTCTCCCGGTAGTCGAAATTCGACTATAATTAATTGAAATTATAAGTTTATACTGGTGTTTATATTGCTGTTAGCGTGGACCTATGAGTTACTTATGACGACGCTTGTAGCAAGTATTGTACTTTTTGACGAAGCATGTTGCTGATAACTCTATTTTGTAATCTGACGAAGCATGTTGCGGATAATAACATGTACTTTTAGGTTAGGAATATTATGTTCTTTTTTTTATAATAAATATTAACGTGGGAAAAAAATTATAAAAAACGTTTGCCCAAAGTTTTAAATGCCCACTTCGCTGGGCATTTAAAATTAACATTATTATTTATTGTCTTTATTATTAGGGAATCTAACACTCATATACATATTAGCATATCCATTAAGTACATGTATTTTCTACGTGGATACCAAGTTTCAAGTCAATCTTCAAGTCAAGATTTAATGTATTCTTTATGCATAATTAAAAAAAAAAAATCTGCTCTCCTACTCTATATTCTCTATAAGTGTGGGAAACTTCATACTCCTCCGTCCGCGCAATTTTCGTAAAAAGGGGTACAAAGTTTTTGCTTCACGTATTAATATATAGATGTAAGCTTTGTGTTGGACGTTGACGTTGACAGAAACATTAATATTTGGGTATGTATCAGATCAGCATTCAACCATAAGAGGGAGCCACAAGTGGGACAAAGAAAGAAACGTGTTTTTTCTCGATCGGAATAAAGATATATAATTCAAATTCATTAAAACTCTTTGTGAATTAGCTTTATTATAAAAGTAAAAAGGACGATTCAAATTTGATTACAAGTATAGTAAAGCATGAACATTTAATTGTCGATTCTCTGTTTTAGATTAGTAGTTATTTCATTAGTTGATATTTGTTAAGTAAAATATATCTGTATTTAATAAATAAAACTCTGTTTTTAGTTGAATCACATAATGTTTTGCTTGAAGAAGAAATATAATAGATAATCTTATATATAGATAGGCTTTCGCCTCTCGATATGCATTTACTGTACCTGAGGGCTTTGCTGGCTGGTTGCTCGACTATTACCACGCTTGGTGCTCGCGGGGGCGCGGATTGACTCGCCATGTTCTCTAAGGCAACAGGAGGAGGGCCCTCGCCGAACGTGGGATCCGCGAGCGATATGGCCTCAACTGTGGATAGTGCATTGCTAATTATTGTAATTGAATATGCAATTTCGAAAAGGGCACATGTCGCATATTTTGTCAAATACGTTTTTTCATATACAATGTAGTTTTGAGGCTTATCTACACACATTCTATAATAATTCCAGTAATTTTCAATTGCTAATTAACACTAAAATATATCTCAAAAGTTAATATTTTAAATTTTACACTGCTTTAGAAAATAATCTGTTTTTTTCATTTCCTGAAAATTTTACATTTTCAGAGATGCGCCCTTTTCGAATTCGAATTACATATTCAAATGTAATTACTCATTTATTTTTGTAGACAAAAGTACCGCGTCCAAGTTTTACATGTTTCTTGAATGATAGATTTTCAGCGTTTTTTTTTTTCGTATAAATCGAGTCGTAGTATAAAATCGAAACTATAGAGGTCAAATCACATTTATAAATTTGTATAACGAAGTAATTTTAATTCGGTGATAGGACTTCGACTTCTCAGCCCGCGACTCACTCGGACACTTTTCCATTTTTAACAATAATTCTAGACAGTTGTTTTATAAGGAATTCTTATGTTCTTCTTCAAACCAAGTTTAAAAAGAATCCCAAGCATCAGACAGCAGCTCCCCACAGGAAGAGTTATTGTTGATTTCCATAGACATATTTGACCCCCCTCAAGTGGACAGCATAGTTGTCTAACTTCTAAGACCATGTTATACAAAAAAAGATAATTAAGAATACTTACAAACATCATTGATATTCAATTCGTTAGGTTGATTGGGGTCATTTTGTTCTGCAATACCTATCGGTAGACCGGCGTCTGCAAAGCAACAGTAATACGTTTAATATTTGCTAAGGTTTTCACAGAAAACATGTAATGTTTGAAGCGCGAAAAATTATAAACTTAATAAGAAATTAATCTAATAATTGTTTAGTCACGTTGCTACCCAGATATGTCCCTTGTTTTGTCGCTGTCCTTGAGCGACGGTGAGCACATACGATCAAATCGTTTGCCATCAAAAAACCTAAATTTAATTGTTCAAATCAAATCAAATCAATAAAATTTTATTCAACATAAATGAAAGTACTGTTGAACGTCAAAAAGAACTACCGCCAGTTCACAAAAACTAGCCTCCGTCCTGAGAAGAACTGGCAAGAAACTCAGCGGGCATGTCCGTTTTTATTAAATATTAGAGTTTTTTTTTTAATATTAGATTTTTTTTTAATATTCATGTTAACGGCGTAGCTACAATCCCGCAATAAGGGCACGTTCCAACAACACTGTGACATACAATACTTATAGTACATGATCCACATTTAATTATAATTCTGGAGTCTCGCTCTGTCAACAGCTTCATCACCCAACAAACGGGAACTCGCCACTGCTTAGCGGCTGAAATAACCAGGATGGCACCTATCCGTGCGGGCTTTCAATACGCCCTTCCTTTTTTTATTGCTTAGCTGGGTGGGCGAGCTCACCTGATGTTAGATGGTTACTGGAGCCCATAGACATCTACAACGTAAATGCGCCACCCACATTGAGATGTAAATTCTAAGGTCTCAGTATAGTTACAACGGCTGCCCCACCCTTCAAACCAAAACGCATTACTGCTTCACGGCAGAAATAGGCAGGGTGGTGGTACCCACCCGCGCGGACTCAAAAGAGGTCCTACCACCAGTAAAAAAAGTAACTCAATTCAAGTAACTCATCAACTTCCTCAAGTAACTCATCAACACCATCACATTCAAGACGTTATCAACTTTTATCTTCGTTGAACGCAATACAAATAACAGTGGTGGATCGTCAGTAACAAGAACCACAACATTTAGCCCCATAGCACACAATGAATATTTCATTTAAATTATAATAAAATTTTAACAAAAATGAATGACTAATGTAAAAGCATTAATGATGAATGATACCAAAGCAAATATATGCGCGAAAACCGGTAACAATAATAAACCGGTTTAAATCTATTTCGTTTCCAAAAACGTCTAATATCGGTTTTGAAACTATTGACCGGTTTCAATGTCGACGGACGTTAAATAAAAAAACGTCAAAATGTATGTAGGTACATAAATATGTTTATGTAAATTGAACTACTCGAGGCCTAAAAGACAAGAAGTCCAGTTTACTTGTGTACAATTATAATTCAGCTATATAATTCAACAACTACAATGTCTATCCGACGCAGTGCTAATTAATTAAATACATTTTTTACTCAACTGAGAGGATCAATCCTATGTTGCGTTGTCGATTCAAATTTTCTTTATTTATTTATTTATTACTTAGACAGGTGGACGAGCTTACAGTTCACCTGGTGTTAAGTGGTTACCGGAGCCCATAGACATTTTTTTACTACTAAGGTCTCAGTATAGTTACGACGGCTGCCCCACCCTCCAAGCCGAAACGCATTACTGCTTCACGGCACAAATAGGCAGGGTGGTGGTACCTACCCGTGCGGACTCACAAGAGGTCCTACCACCAGTAAACTAACTTCATCGTACCTAACGAGATTAGAGTTGTAGACGAACGTATATGTAAGACTGTTCTAACTTTAATCAATCTTTCAAAACTTTAATCTATCTGACATGCCAGTCAAATTGGTTTGAATGTTGATTTTACTTATTACTGTCGAAAACCGAAAATCGCTCTGCCCGTCTGATAGTAAGTGGATTAACAGTACCGCGTCCGTGACCAAACGGGAAAGACGCCCGTATCGAGTTATGCGATTACAAAAGGACTCCACGTGCTTCAAGTGGAATTCACGATATGGTTCGGCGGCAAATGAAGTCAGGTGAACAGCGAACCTTCCTGAAGGTCTACAGCTCAATAAGCCTTAATACGACGATGTCATATCTGTATGTAATGAATAATCTTTAGGATTTAAAACCTATACAACCCTTTAATTTAAAAAAAGATTTTTCTTACACGCTTTCACTCAGCTGTCTGTGAAGAGAATAGTTCATTTTTGCATAGTATAATAATACCATTTAAAATATTATATTTAAATAGAGATTAAGGGCTTTGAATGGTGTTTTCTTCTTTTTAGTACAGACTAGCCGTACTCGCCCGTTTCGCTGGGCATTTAAAATTAACATTATTATTTATTTTCATTATTATTATGGAGTTCAACACACATATAAATATTAGCCCACCCATTAAGTACACAATGTGTTTTCAACATGGATACCAAGTTTCAAATCAATCGGATGCATGGTTCAGTAGTTATAACGGAACATCCGTAAAAACCGTACGTAATATTTTTTTTATTTTATACGGTCAATAAAATCTTATTTATATTACAGAAAACGTAATCAAGTATTTTATTGTTCATAACTGGAGTATTTAATATCATTATATGTATATTTAATATTAGTATATAAATATATCATTTTCAGATTCCTATAGTACAAAAGATCCTAGTTCCGTGCCGAATGAAAGCGTGTGATATATCCCTAATTATTAATCTAACTCTACAATATACCAATACGCTAGACTACAAAATTCATTTCGGTGCAAGATCCACAGCAATGAGCTCATCACGTCGCAGTGAAAGCAGGAAAATTCATTTATTATTTGTTTGTGTGTATTATACACAGGCGTGTGTGAATGTGAGTGTGCTTCTGTGTGTTTTATTTTATGTTTACCGTTGAGTATGTGTGCGCAGATTGTACTACATTACCATAACGGTCTAAGGCAGGGGTCGGCAATCTGCAGCTCTTTAGTTCCATACGCAAATAATATTTATTTTATAAAAAAAAAAAACATTTAAAATTCGTTCTGAATCGACTAACGAGGATTGGGCACCATTTATTTCTATCTCTCAGCCCATTATTGTAAGTAAACTATTGTTTTCAAATTTTACTAAATATGGTTATCTAATAATACCATATTCACAACATAGTATAAAACAAAGTCGCTTTCTCTGTTCCTATATCTGTCTGTCCTTATGTATGCTTAAATCTTTAAAACTACGCTACGGATTTTGATGCGGTTTTTTTTGTAGATAGAGTGATTGAAGAGGAAGGTTTATATGTATAATAAAATCCATTAAATAGTGGAGAAATCAATAATAAATTACAGTTTCCGAAGCGAAGCCAGGGCGGGTCGCGAGTATATAATATATGTAATTTGTTGTAAAAAACACTAGTTATATAATAATAAATAGATATTTTTCTTATGAATAATTAGATTCGTTTTTTTTTTTAATTTTTTTTATGCAAGTACTATTTATTGTTGACAAGAAGATATGTATTTTGTATATATATAATTATATATATAATTTTTGGTTCTCGCGACTCAAAAGGTTGCCGACCTCTGGTCTGAGGTAATCGAAATATAAAAAATCTATCAAGTGTTTAATATTTCACTCAAATAGAATACTTTGTGAACGTCACTTCCGGCCACTGTTTCGGTGCAGTTGTTTCTTTTTGTCATTGTGCTAATTGGATTAGGTAAATCACATGGTTTTTTTTAAGGTATATTATGACCTAGTAAATAAGACCTTTAAGTCATGTCTTATTTTTATGAAAAATGGTAATATGAAGTGAAATGAAATGAAATGAAGATGATTAATTTAAGACATTAATTAGCTGGGATGAAATTAAATGAAATGAGATGAGATGATATGGGATGAAATATAATGTCAGTAAAATGGTGGTCATTTACAGAGTTTTTTTTCAGTGAACTTTTTGGAGGTTCCCGAGAAGTTACGTCCAGCGGCTTTGTTTCATTTTCCCACATTTGTGCACTTTCACAGATAGTTCATAAACAGTTAATAAAACACCGTTATTACACATTTAAACCTGGAGAAACATTAAATAGACAAAACAAAAAATTAATAATAAAATCACACAACTTCAGTCCTCGCGTTCCCGCCAAAAAGTCCTAAATGATATTACCATTTGAAAAATCACAGGTTATATTATGCACAAAGACGCGTCCTATTCAGCCCAAGATACGAGGAATAGTTTTCTTATAACGGTTATGTGGACCTTAACTGAAATCTATTGTAAGTTATGATATATTTTGTTATTCAACCATAACTATAATAAGAAAATATTTTTGAAAGTCGCTCTCAGTTCCGTAATACCAGCCCACATTAAATTTTAATCGGTCTAGTTTATAGGATGTTGAATATAGAGTTGTAAATGATATTACTTTCTTAAGATACAACCTAACATCTCATGTATTATTTTATAATCCATGTCTTTTTAAAATCGTATTTTTTATGTTTTTTATTGCTTAGATAGGTGGACGAGTTCACAGCCCACCTGGTGTTAAGTGGTTACTGGAGCCCATAGACATCGATAACGTAAATGCGCCACCCACCATGAGATATGAGTTCTAAGGTCTCAAGTACAGTTTCAACGGCTGCCCCGCCCTTCAAACCGAAACGCATTACTGCTTCACGGCAGAAATAAGCGGGGTGGTGGTACCTACCCGCGCGGACTCACAAGAGGTCCTACCACCAGTCAACATTATACATTTTAATTTTAACTTTCCTTTATTGAACTACACCAAGCATTTATTTTCATACTCTGTATTGGTTTGTACACTGTGTGACATTAAATCGACAATGATTCGTTTAAAATTTCATTTGTTTTTTCCTTATGACGTAGAAAACTGATGAGGCAACTGCCCTCATTCATAATGTAGCTAGCAGTAACACCAGTAAAACCATTCTATTAAGTAATTGTTGTGTAATTTCTAATGGACTATGAATTGAATGTGAGCAGGTCGATCAACTGCTAGCAGGATGCGTGTTGTCTATTTTATTTTATTTATTTATTAGGCACAAAATACAGATTACAAGC